TTGTAGAGAAAACCACTGACTAAAATTTTGAACCGATAGCTGTAGCTAGCTGTGCACACGCGTTGTCTTTGAAGAATTGCGAAAATCCAATTTTTGCCAGTATTTCAGATTTGATTGACGTTGCGACAGAAGAAAAACAAAAAAATGTTATTTAAGGCCATTAGACAAGATATGACCAGCTTCAAGGCAGGACATCGGCTTTTTTGATCTTAAGGTCCTTCGGACATAGTTATGTCTGGTCGGGACAAAAGGGTCGCACTTGTCGCAAGCACGCGATGACAGATTTTATGTCCAATGTAGACACCAAAAGCACTAGTGTGACCGCTGCCATATTCAACAACCAAGGGGACCGCGGACAGCATCGATGGCATTTAAAGCTTTTTACACTTGCTTTACTTGAATGCCGGTCCGTCAACCGTGTTTTCGCGAGCCTTATGCTTTCAGAGTGTTCCGGTATTGTAAAATTGCTCCCGAATATGTCCTACAAAATTTATTCGAGTGGAAGGGTATTCTGCTACCAGGCAAGCACTTGATAAGCTGATCAACACATCTGAAAACATCGAGCGTGTGCCAGAAACTTCAACAGTCGACCCTGACTCCTTTCGGAGATCCCCACAATACAGACACCTCTATATTTAGGACAGTTCAATCAGTCCCCATGAAACCAGAATTCATATGAGCTTAAATCACTTCCTTCATATAGCACAGGCACTCAGCTGGTTCGACTCGGTGAAAGCCCGACGTTTCGGGTTTGGCTCTTCTTCGGTGCAAAATATTCTTATACCCTCGCAAAAAGCCGTCCAAGTAAATAGAAGTTTGTAAATTTTCAGTTAAACGTAATTTCAGAAGCAAAGTGCCTGCTTACCTGGTACATAATCCTCGTCTTCCTCGCCGCTGCTACTGTCGTGTTCTGAGCCAGACATCTTTTCTCTGACACTTGTCCCTCCTTACATGACGTGTTGGAGTAAATCCAGAGAATACCCTGGGGACGAGTAGGTCGGTCGATCAAGGAAAACATGTCTGGGAATTCTGCTGATATAACTTGTGCCTTTGTTATCATAGGAGGGGGCATTTCTGGTGTTTCTTGCGCGGAACATTTATCATTATTGTGTCCAAAAGAGACCATTGTTCTTATTACAGCAACTGACGTAGTCAAAGCTACCTGCAACCTCAAGAAGTTTGGTAAAACATTGGAAGAATTTGATGTTGAGGAAAGATCAGCTTCATTAGTGTTCAAGGACAGTCGTAATGTTGTCATTGTAAAATCACTTGTCACCGCCTTTGACCCTGAAGGTAGGCAGACACAATCTAGTATAGAAAGATACCTATATAGAAACTTTATTAACTTGTCAATACCTTATTGTGTGGGAAATCTCATACTATATCAAACACCAGGGTTAGTTACTCGATAAAAATTGATATCGGAAAACCACTCGATAACTCGACAATAATCGATAAATTGAAATCAAGTGTTATCGATGATATCGGTCACTCGAAAAACTCGATACTCACATGCTTGCTAGGTTCAAAATTATCGATTTTATCGGATCTATCGATCAATGCGTTTCCTTAGTTTACGCGTTAAGGTGGCTGAACACAGTTTTTGATACCTGTGTTTCATTCACCCTTTTCTCTAAGACCCTTGATCTCTCGGTCGCCAAAAATGGCAGCAAGCAAGTTAACAACACAAACTTTGTTTTTTTGATGGTTAAGCTGACGTGGGTGACGTTGCCATTGCAACATCAATAAAAATAAAAAGGCATTTAAAATCGGTTTTGTTTATTTGTAGAAAATCTGGTCATTAGATTCTCTTTATAATTTGCTTGCAACAAACTTGAAACGATTCTCACAAGTTAACACCATTTTGCTAATAATTTAACAGAGAGATCTTTAACTATCCCTTGCTGAAGGTTCACTGGAATATCGAGAATTTCCCTTGTTAAAGTTCAATTATTTTCAAAACTCCAGTTACTTATTTCCTAAAGTATTTTCCTGCCAAATTTTGTGAAATTCTAATGTGTGGTTCTCGAGAAATAGGCGTATTTCCAAGAGTGCAATTTGTCATTCAATTGCAATTTTTTGACTTACTACGCATGCGCTGTGTTTAACTGGGTTCTTTCGGTAACAAAGAAAAAGCTGAGAATTGCTGGGTTCTTTGCATCGTTACCTTTTTTAACATATTGTTGTGATAAAAGACTAAAGCCATCAATACACTGCGTTCAGTTATAGAGAAAAATAGAACAGATAGTGCGGGTGCTGAAGGTCCCGAAAAGTTTGCGCACCCAGAAAGCTGTAGCTAACTCTCAAACCTTATGATTACAGAACTGTTTTATTCACATGTTCTTGATGTCAACAGAGGTTCTTTTCATACAAGAAGTTTCAGACATGTACACCTCTCAGTTTTTATATGCAGAGTAATTGAATATGGCTTTATGGGCCCAAAAAGTTTCCGGGGCTTTCAAGAAACGGGCCCCTGAGCTTGAAGTAGCAGAGTGTTAACAACAGCTCTTTTATGTTGTAGATGATGTTTAGAATGAAAATTTAGGTATTGATCAGTATTGGTCGGTTTGTGGTATACAGTGACCTTGGTTGAGCAATCTTTGTTCACGTATAGGCAGGTGTCAAGAAATAGAATTCTGCTGGTTTTTTTTTCCTCCGAAGTGAACTGAATGTGGCTCTCAGCTTTGGTCTTGTCTTTCAGTTGGCTGCAAGCATGCTCTATAGCAGCAATAATATCTGCGACTGGAATCTTTGAGGGAGTAATGCTGAGTGATCACCAGCTATGTGGTATTGATATATTGATGAAGCAATTTTATTATCACCAAAATTCATGAATACACAGTGAGCTCATTTTCCGATAATCTCAATGCCACTTATCCTTGTTTTTTGCTATCACTCCAATTTGCATGACCAGAATGCAGAAATATGTCTTCGTATGGGAACGCTATATATGCAGGGTACAGGGTAACCCTCCTTGAGTCATGCCCACCACTTGAATGTTAAGAAAATTGAAAATGTTTGACAAAAAGCGCCAATGAGAGGGAAGGTCAATTCAAGAGGACAGTTTCATTTAGTTTATTGCCTGACCTTAGGGAATACAAAGATTATCTGTCATTAAGGTCATTCCCAAGTATTGCATTGCGCATCCCTACTGCGCATAATTTCATGCATGATTAGCGCGCGC